ACCATTCAACTGACTATATGGACGATGTTTCTGTCGTCCAACACAACGTTATGATTGGCAGATAACAGCGAGGATGGAGAAGACACACACATACACAAAAAAATCTTTTTCAAAAAGATCGAATGGTCACTGGAAGCGAAAGTTCGCTCTGTCACCTTCTCCGACTGATGAGAGCGACAAGAGCAAATGTTGTTCTGGAGCAAAAATCCAAAAGTTATTGTAAGAAAAGAAAATAACAGAGAATAAGGAGAAGGAGATGTAGTTTCCGGAAAAAATCGGAAAAAAAAAGAAAGAAAAGTAATTGTTTTCACAAGTAATTAACTTGCACAAGTTGACCAACACGAACAAAAAACTGAATGGAAGCACAAGGGTGGAGCGCCAGAGAGCATGCACATGAGAAGTTGATGTGAAAACGTTTTTCAAAAGAAAAACCAATCGGTGTAGCTTTTATCTTAAAACTATCATGAAGGAGCTGCTTAATTAGCTTCAACTAAACGACGAGCTCATGGCATTTAGGATATTGTAAGAGAGAGAAAAAAGATTAATTAGAGAATTGAAGAAAAATGAAAATGAGAGAAAAGAGTTTTTGGATCAGATCACACTGGACAATCATTGGCATGGCTAATAGCTGAAAGGAGTAGGATGAAAAAGATACTTGAACGAAAGAGACCTTGTATGAGATATGATATACATCTGAGAGAATTGATAGAAAGAGGCAGAGAGAGAGAAAATATAAGAGATAAGGAAGGAGAGATATAGAGAGAGAGAAGGATAAAAAGAAAATGAAATAGGAGGTGAAGAGAGGGTGGTCTTGGACGGAAAGAAATCTGTTCGTCGTCGTCGTCCAGATCTTTACAACTTATGCTTAGACGTCTCATCTCTTATCATTCTACATACACTTTCACTCATTTGCTAACAAAATTTCACGTTCTCAGTTAAATAAACCATTTATCATGTTGAACAAGCCTCAGATATTCCATCAGCCTTTCAAACTAAACAAAAAAAAATGAAAAAAACATCCGCTCGCCTCTTGCTTTGTAAAAGAAGGTTCAAAGGAATCTGATCTTGTTGTCAGATCATTTCCTATACCTTTTGCTTTATCAAACAGCCGCAGGGCAAATAAAAAACTTTAGAGAAGTTAATGAAGCTCAAAAATGCTGCTCAACCTCCCCAAAATACTTGGATTCCAACGATGGGATAGAAGGAGAGGGAATAGAAAACAAAGCTGAAATGACTAGAAGAGGAAGAAAAAACCATTACGAGCTTTAGGCAGATGTTCTTAAAGTCCAGAGAGCAAATGAAGACTGACTTGACTACACATGGAATTTTCTAATAAGAGTGACACTAATTGAAAGAAATAACAAACGTCTGCAACCTCTATACACATCAAGAGCTTTTCGGGGTTTTCATTCTCATAAATTACGAAGAAAACGTTTCTTTCCAAAGTTCGAATCATTCAATAACGACTGACGTCTTCAGATACTCGCTCTAACACACACACAGCAACAAAAAAAACGGAAAACTTGCATGAAAAAGGGAGGAAAAGCGAAATTTGTCGGAAGGAATGAAGTTGATTGGATAAGAAACAGATTGAATGATTAAGCTTCAAAGTACCTGACTATCCCTCAGGGCTTTCAGTAATTACATGTTGAAAATGAGAAGAAACATGATGTTACAAGTACTTGAGAGTCATGTTCACAACAACAGAAAACAAAAAAAGCAAAAAAAAAAATTGAAAGCAATAAATCAAATATTCGCGAAAGAATTTCCGTTAATTCTCACCAATTTTCATGTGAAAATCAGAATTGTCTTAATAGGAGAATAACATGAACAAGAGAGAGAGAGAAAGAGAGAGAGAGAGAGAGATAACAGGACATGAACTAACTTGGAAGATGAGAAGAGGAGCAAAAAAAAGGAATTTCAAAAAGAAAATATGCAGAAGGAGACAAGTCAAATGGCAATCATCATTCTTCTTCTTCTGCCATTTATGGAGCTGCGAATTATTAAACAGATGGAACAAGTGTAAGAAAAGTCATCAAAAAGAGCTTTCACATCTTTTAAGATCATTTCATCATCAAGCAGTAGTAGCAGTAGCAGTAGCAGCACTAGGATCACGAGAATCACGCAAACTAACGAAGAGAGGTGAAAGATGGGAGATGAAAAAAAAATGAAATGAAAAATCATAAAATATATTGAAGAAGAGCTGCAAGGCAATGATGATGGATGAAGCTTTTACATTTCAGCCAATCGATCCAAATCAATATCGATGATAGCATCAATGGATTATGAATATGAATGTAGCAGTAGTAATTCAAAGAACTTTCATCAAAATAATGAATTGAATGAATGAATCTATTGAAAATCATCCAACCAACCCATATTTCTACGAAATTTGCATACAAACGTGCTTATGGATTTCTTTGAAGGCGTTAAAAGCTATTCCTTTTCTGCTCTCCGTCTTGCTTCTAAACCCATTTCCGAATCAAGAAGAGAAAAAAAAAAGAAATTGGCCCGCAAAAAGAGGATTTTTTTTCCAGCCGAAAAGCAAAAGGCGGGTGTTGGTGGCGACAATTAGATTATAAACCATATATGGTCATATGAGAAAGTAACATATAATTAATGGCGATTGACAGTTGTTGAAATTTCTAACAAAGGTCAAATAGGCGAGCTTCATCAAGATAGTCAAAGATGGTGAAAATGGAAATAACTTTCCAATTTTGAAAATATGTTAAAACGGCACGCGTCGTTTATGATTAATTTAATAAGATTATCACTAATATGCAAATAAGCTTCATTCACATTCACAAACATTTCGTGTGGAGAGGAGGAGCAGTGGTTGTCTTGATTAGTATATTTAACCATATAGTTATAATTAACTAGTTATTAAGATGAAGAAAGAAAGGCGGAAGGTCAAAGGAGATAAGAAAGAGACGAACATAAAGATTACAGAATGCACAGTCCTTACAATAACAATAACCACCATCAATTCAGAATAGACGTGTGAAGATAGCGATTGGTAGGACGCAAGCGCGCGCAGAGGTTCATCAAGCTTATCCTAACCAATGCTATCGTCCGTAAGTCCAGATATGGAATCACATGTTGCCATGGCTTTTCAGCTTTGAAAACCTAACTATTGAAACATTCATTTTTCAATATTCATACAGATATATATAGATATAGACATCTCTATATATGGATAGATGAATTATAATGAAAAAAGACTTCAAAGTTCATAATGCGACTGATTGATATTCAATTTTTGTTGTAAATGGCAAAGGTTTTCATCGCTTTCTGACTCACAAAATCACATTTTGTATCATCTTTTCAGCTAAATGACAACAAGCTGTTTCAATAAAACTCATCTAAGAAATGAAAAGAAATGTGAGAAGAAGAAGAGGACGAAGAAGTTTTTGTTGAACACACAGCGACTATGCAGAGTGACTGCGCACAACCTGTAAAGGAGATGAGCCGAATCCTATTCAGACCTCACACCATGTGTTGTGCTTGTATTGACAGTTTGCAGAACAAAAACATAAAATGAACAAATCTTTCATCTTGCCGACATGAGACATTCACTTACTTACATATAACTAAGCTCATAACATTCTATTTGTCAGAGTATCATAGAGATAGATAGGCAATACCTATCGACTGTTATATAATCATAATAATATTCCGAAAATATTTCTTATTAAATAAAAAATAATCAAGTGATAATTCGCTTTTCAACAGATTGAACACTAATCTCATTTCACATACAATAGAGACAGTTCAATATAGTTAATAAAACGAAAAGAAAACGACAACGCCCCGATGCTGGAAAGATAAACGTTCAGCTTGTTTCTCCTCTTAAAAGCGGCCAACAAATATATTCATGGCACTTCAATCAAGAACATCCATGAATAAACACAAAAACACAATCGCATTTTCTTTTGCCACACAGACGTACACAGTCTATACATGAAGTGAATCATTCACAAGTAAAGCTCTAACTCAATGAGCCAAAATGAATAACAGATCATCAGTCAAAATATTAATTTGACTGATCGCATCAAGAGAGTTGCCACAAGAGATGAGGAAAAAGAAAAGAAAAGAAAAGAAGATAATGACATGACGTATGAGGTCAATGAACAGCATCAAAGGCGCGTATGATCGTTACCAGATGTCGCAAATCTTTTTCATTCTCTTTTTACCCCACAAAAAGCAGTCCAAAAGTTAAGGATAACAGTCCTGCATCTAGATCATATGTCCATTAGAACAATCAATTGTGTGAGCTCTCACAAGATGTTATTACTAACAATCATACACCATATTCACCGATAGAATAAAAATGAAAAGATGAAAAGGGGCGTACCTTTGGAATTCAGCTGCTGAAGCATAGACGACCAGTTGCTGTCAGTTTTTGATGAAAAAATGAATTATCCACGCATACACACACCAATTTCACGTGCAACGGCGTGAAAATGAGATTTTAAAAAAAAAAAAGAAAAAAAAAATAAAATCGATAATTGGATATGACTATGTCAGTTATGCTGAACTTCAATCTCGTTGTAGTTTGTGCTTGATGCATAAAAATGTATTGAGTAACATGTGAAATGTGCATTTATTTTGTTTAAAAACATAGAAAACAGTCAAAAACAAAATAAATTTTTTTATTTTTAAAAACTTAGATTAACAATAGACAATACATGGAGAGAGATAGAGACTGAAAGAATTGATTAACTTAAAGAAAATAACTTTGATGAGCAATCGAGACGACAAAAAAAAGGAATTTTTGAAATTTTTGGTTTTTTAAAAATGTTTTTTCGAGCAAAAAAAAAGAAAAAAATTCAAAAATTGATATTATGACACATATCACGACATATATATTTATAAATATATATATATATATAAGTATTAAGTATAAGAAATTTTGTATTAAGGTAATTGAACTAGAAAGGATAAATAATAATTATAATAATGATAATTCAACCCATAACATGATCATTTGGATAAATGCATCAGACGTACCATTCCTTAAAATCTTTTTTCTTTATCGTTCCACCGTTTTTTCCGTTTCCGTTCATTATGGAACGTCCGTTGCCATTCATTCCGTACATTCCATTCGGCATAACTGATCCTTTGAGTGGTTGATAACCATTTCCATTTACCTTAAATTTCATTGTGTTATATTATAATTCATAATATATATAGATAGTACTTGAGGTTGTCTGCCCAGTAACGGTTGTGTTGATGGATCAACTCCTAAAGGTGGTGAAAGATCGGGAGCTATGGCTGTATATCCTGAAGGTGCTTTGACTCCGTTCACAGCCTTAATTGGAAAGATGAAAATGAATGATGAAAGAGATATATTATGAATACCATTGGATAATGATCATTTGGTGGAGGATTTTGACGACAACGGAATACACAAAATACTACAATAGCAATGAGCAGAACGACCGTTAAGGAGGCGATCATAACAAGAGCTGTTCTTGGAAATTCACCAGCTTCACCAGTATTGTACTGAAATATGTTTTTATTTTCTTGTTATTGTTATAATTAAGACAGATTGGAACAAAAAAAAAGGCAAAAAGATGAATTGAAAATCAAATATAAAACTAATCGAACCTTCATTGTTGTTGTGAGCAATTCGCCCATAGGCGTTGTTGGTCTCACTGGATAAACTGTGAACGACGGACTCGTTTTAGGCTTTGCAAGCCGTGTTGTAGTTGTAGAGAGAAGTGTTGAAAAGGTCAAAGAACTAGTTGTTTTTTCTGCAACAAATATAATTTTAGTAAAACATAGAATGTGTTTGAATTAGAAAAATGACATACAGGCAGTCTACACATGGATTAATTATAATTACAGACAAGGGAAAACATAATTTCTATCTGAAAGGAGGGGAGCGGGAAATGGAGATGAGACAGGAGGAGAGGAAGAAGAAGAAGGGTGAGAAGTGAAGAAGGACTTCTAGATTTGGTAGAGGCAGGGAGAGCCCCCCGGAAGCACAAAACACTGAAGAAACGTGCTGTTCTGTTCTTTCCTCTGAAAGAATAATGAAACGGAATAAGAGGCGAAGACGAGAAAAGGTGGATGAAATGGAAAGAAAGCCATATATTCCCAAGATAAACCAAGATTGTTTTCGATTCAAAGCCACCCATCATCATCAACGAATGAAAAGATTTTAAATGAACAGAAAGCCGAAAAAAAAAGAAAAAAAAGGAATTTTGAGGATTCTGATGTCAATTAACTGGCCGAAAGAGAGCAGGCGGTTCATTTTCATCAAAATCTAACGGAAGATGCGGAAAGATTGAAATAAAAAAGTCTCTGATAGTATGGCTTGAGAGAGATCAATTCCAATGCTCATTTGGCTCTGACAATGAGCTATTTTGGGAGAAAAAAAAATTTTTTTTTTGGTTTCGAAAAAGTCGGAATTGTTAAGAATGGAGGCATTAAACCGTTTTTCTTAGACTAATTACACATTTTTTAAGAGGGAAAGCAGAATCACACACTGAAAGTACAATAAAAAAATTCAATGAGAACAAAAAGCTTTAAAGCCACTGCACTTTTGCTAAGAGGGATAGAGAGAATGTGAGAAAGATAGAGAGAGATGGAGATGGAAGAAAGCCATTTTAGGCTAACAATTTGAGAGCAGACAGATGATGATTGAAGTTTTTGTGATAAAAATGAGGAGAGAGAAGAAGAAATTCTTTTTTTGTTCTTTTTTGGAAGCCTCTCAATATGGATCCTATTTGAATAGAGAGGGAGAGCTTATAGAAGAGTAGGTGTGAGAGGTGCGACGATCAGAGGAATCAGAAGACCAAAAAAGGAAACCAAAAGAGGAAAAAAAAAGGAAAAAAGAGAGGAAATACTTCATCCGAAACTTTAAATTTTATGTAATTTGAAAAATAATATCCACTAGGGGGAGAAGACAAAACAAAATTCTTTTTGGAAGAGAGAGAGAGAATGGAAGAAGGAGAGAGAGAGAGATTGAAAGAGAGAAAAAAAGAAAACAAGAATATTTATGGTAAATTAGGAAAGAAAGCAAAACGGACTGGCGATGAAATCAAGACAATCAGAATGAAGCTTGAAAATCTTTCTTTGTTGCCTCGTGCCGCACTAGCAGCAGAAGCAGCAGCAGTAGCAGCTTTAGCATTCTTTAGGACTGATTAATCCTTGGTTAAGAATATATTATACATCTATATATTAATATGAGGCATAAATTTAATCTTAACTATAATCTCCATATGTTTCTTCAACCAAAATACTTAGATTTACCCTTTGAATTAAGATTGAAGATTATAATACGTGACATTTGTTAACAAAGAGATGAAGGAGAATGAGGCAAACGATGTGATTTCCGCAGATTTTGCTACCAAAAACGGAAATCACAAAAGCTTATCTTAAGCATTAACGAAAACGAAAAAAGTCAAGTTAATTCATTTGTAAAAAAGGATGCAAAAAATGAAAATGAAAAGAAAAATTGCTTTCAGACGAGCTTCGACTTCTGAGAAAGTCTCAAATGGGTTGGAGAGAATCATCTCCAGCTTTGCTCAAAACACGATTCGCATGAATTGTGTATGAGGGTTTAGGTGAGATAATGAAAGTAGAAAAAAAACTATTTTTTTAGCTTTGAAAAATACATAAAAATAAATAGAAACTTTAAGCTTTTCCGAAAGAATTCTTCTTCTTCAGTCTTCTGAAAGACATTTTCTTGCGAATGAGAAGCTGATGCATTTGGTCAAGATGAACATGCACGACAGGTTGGCTGGACGAAAGTGAGGGAAGTAAGATGAAGAAGAAGAAGAAAGGAAGTTTGGTAAAGAAGGAAAAAAAAGAATAAAGAAGTATATTGTAGAACATTCTTCTCTTTCTTTTTATATGTTGTGAGCCTTTATCTTTCCCAAAATATCATTCATTTTCTCTTTTGCCAATTACTATCTCTCTCTTCTCTCTCTATGTTCTGTTTCTTTCTTCAATTCTCTCTCTCTCTATCATTCATTCTATCTATCTATCTCTCTCTCTCTCTCTATTTGTCTCTCTTACTCATTTACTTACTTTCTGTTACCCTCTCTCTCACTCTTTCTCTTCTCTCTTTACCAATCTTAGCCTTCAAAGGCAAAACGAACAAGCTGGAAGAGCACAAGAGAGGGGAAGAGAGGGCGATGCTAATTAATAGAAGAATATTGGATCTGATGGGTGCAGTACTTTCTGCCAATTCTCATTAAATAAACGAAACCACACATTCATCAGTTTTATGAACAGAACAAACTAAACTTTGGAAGATTTGATGAGGTCAGCTTATACGACATACGCATAGAAACATTGAAAGTTCAAAAGCTTCTTTCTGCGTAAGAATCTGCTCATCAATTTTCATAATTTATCCGAACCTATGTGCCAAATTGCAAATGAAATTTCCGATATTCATGAAGAGAAGTGGAGAAGGCGCAAATAATGTCATTCGCCAAACTCAAACAACTCCATCATTCAACGGAAAATTTTTAAATTTTTTTTTTGTCTCTTCGCAACGAAATTTTTATTCAAAAATTCAATTCTTTTCCACGTACTTTACGTGAGAACTACGTGAGAGAGTGACAAAGAGAGCTACTAATGCCATTTGAAGATTTGGCAGTCAGAAGAACGGTTGTGCTTACTCTAACCCACATCTGAGAGTCTCACAAACAGTTCATGAGCGAATTGACGATGTCCAAACAAAATCTGCGAAAATTGGAAACAACAGGTGCACAGATGGAAATGGATACGGGGCAGATTTACCGTATAGAGCATTATACAGATTTGCCATTATAACTAGAAAAAGGAACATTTCAAAATATATGAACTATGTTAGAATGCAAGCTTCAGGAGTGAATGAGAGTTTCAAATTATGACAAGAAGTAACTGGAGCAAGAAGAAGGAATGATCGAAAAAAACTGCAACAAGTCTTTTCCGGATGGCTACACAGACGACGATTAATTCATTCTTACTCGAAGCTGAAATGAGCAAAAAAAAACAATTTTTTTTCTCTGAAAATGTAAAGAAAAGAACAGTTTGGAGGTAAGTGAAACGAAAAATAATGTTCAGCCTTCCGTCAGTTCATTCAAAAATGCATAAGCTTACTGGCCGCAGTATGAAATACGGAGGGGAATGCTTATTAAGGACGTAACTTCCAATGACGGCAATTGCTAAACAGGAAAAGGCTTTATTCACACTCCAAATGTAGAAAAGAGTAGTTTGTCATATTCAAAGTGAGGAACTTCAGTTTTCAAATGATTTGTGTCTACTTCAGGCGCCCCCTGCTAGCTTGCCTAAATTGGAAGAAAGCAATAGAAGCTTAGACTTTCATTTAAGTCTTTAACAGAAGCAGATTCAGACATTACTTCTGATTATTGCGCAGTTCAGAAGAACATGAAGAAAACTTTCTTTTCATCGTCATCATCTTCTTCGCCTACTCCTGTCTTCTTTCAAATCTTCAACGAAGTAATGAAGGAGCCAAAAATATGAAATTGTTGACAAGCTGCACAAATGCTCGGAAATTAAATATCCACAAAATGGTCGAAGAATTTTCAAAATTAAAATATATGTTGAATCTCATTAGAAAATGGATGAAACTCTTCATCAACAAGTAGTTTCGATTTTTTTTCTCCTTTTTGCGAAGAAATATATGAAATGTATGGAATTGTCGGAAAATTATAATTAACCATGCGAAGCAAGAAAAAAAAAGAAAGGACTTTCAGATGGAACAGGACAGAACATGAACACTGCAAGCCTTAAAAGGACATGAAGGACACTCTATAAACTTATTCTTGAACAAGCTAAAGGTTATATCATCCAGAAAAAAATAAAAAAAGTAAAACTCAGATCCACTGAAGAAAGGACTGGCCGACAGAACGAACTGACTGACACACAGCAAACACAGATAGACGATAGACCGAAGAACATTGAAAAAAATCTGTTTTGACGAAACGATCGCATTGAAGCAACGAAAATCGGGAAGAAATTTCATCTTCATCATAAAGGGGTAAGGTTCTGATATAGGGATGCTTCAAAAATTCACGAGCGAAAGGAGTTAAAAACCCAAGAAGCAAGCATCACACGCAGAAATAAGATATGAACCAACCCGTCAGACTCTTTAATGGCGACATTGGACTAGCTGGAGCTGTCATCTGCTTATTCGTCGTTTTTCTACGTTGATGAGCTGTTGTAGGCATCATTGTGGTTGATGAGGAACTTGCAACAGCTGTCATTTGAGTTGTTAACGGCCCGGTACGTGAGCTCGTATTCTGATGAGCACGCCAAGCAGGGCCGGTTACCATCGGTTCCGGAAGTAAGTCAATGTCCGCCCAGATGCTGTCGCCTAGATATTCAGGATTCTGCTCTGCAGCTAGACTAACACTCTCATATGGCCTAGGTAACACAGTGGAACGAGGCGAGACTGTGGTACGTCTGGCGTGAGGGCTAATTGTGCTACGAGTGGAAGTCGGACGACCGACTGGTGCGTGATGACCAGGTAATCGTGCATCTGATCCAACAGAAGATGTTGCTTGCTGACGCGTATCAGAAGCTGCTTTATCCAGAGGAGAATCAGGAATACTTCGAGGCGGAGGCATAATGGTGGACGGTGTTTCTACAGTGGCCGATGTAGTGCTTGTCGAAGCTGTTGTGACAGTAATGGTTGTTCGATGGGTGGATGAGTCTAAGTCGGATGCTTCTGTGCCTTCGAGAGAGGAGAGATAGATAATAGAAGGAGGAGTTAAAGGTGGAGAAGTAGTAGAATAAGAAATTATAGAATCAGAAGAACTACTAGATGGTCGTGATACAATAGAATTCCGTGTCGAATCTGCAGGCTTTCTAGGAGACTCACCACGAACAGCTGTAGAGGAAGTTGGGGAATTGGTTGTCGCTCGCCTTGGGGCAGTAACAGCGGAAGGAATTACTGGAGTGAAGAAACCTGTAAAAACAAATTTATGCTAACGAATAAATTATTGAAATGGATTGAAATATATTTTTTTATTCTTCGTCTGCTTCTTTTATATATAGTTTGTAAGAATTGTATATATTATATATATCGAACCGGAATCAGGGCTATCTTCTGATGGCATTTGTTGATAATCAGCTTTATCGATGAAAGATATTGAGTTAAGACGATTTCGATCTAAGCGACTTGTGTCGAAATTTGGAGCAAATCGAGGTGGTGGTGGAGCATTCAAACGACATTTTGGAGAGTTCCAATCCATTAAACAAAGGATTGGTAAGACAGTGCTTGTCATCACAATCATCCATAGGGGCGGATCCTATATTCTTTGATGACGTCATGAAAACAGATCATATAACTATTCATATAGTTAACTATTAGTGTTAAATAATTCTTATGGAGCGATCAACGAATTACACACAATTTCTAGCACAGGATTGAATTTCTAAGTTACGAATGAATGTTTCTAAGATTATGCAGAAGAAATATGAATTCTCGAAGCTTGGCATTTGCTTGGAAATATTTGAAAATGTGAGAACAGAAGATTTGATGTGGATGAGAAGGGAGTAAATGACAACAGTAATGAATGTGTTCAAGAGGTTAGAATTGAGAGAATGGATTACTACTCATCCATATTCATACCTTTCCATAATTACTTTTAATATTCTTTAAGATATATTAGAAAGAATGGCCTTCTTGTTCAGATTGGATTCGTCTTTCCATTTCTCTCTATGTGACCCTCTCTATCTCTCTCTCTCTATCTCTCTTAGTCTTTCTCTTAACGACTCTCCAACATCTACACTCATGAACAGATTCAAAGAAAAGTCTTTGAATGAAAGTTTGACCGAAAAATTCGAATATTTCAATATAATAAGGAAGATTGTATGGATGATAGCTTCTAATTAAAATTTCAATTAAAATAATAATTGAAGGAAGAAGAAAATCAGAAACAAAGAGTGAAATGAAACAAAAACAACTTTCTCTCTGATGAGCACACAAGAAAAAAAAGAGAAAAAGAAAGCAGATGATTGTACTTCAGCATTTCTTTACTCATTCGTTGGAAATCAGAATCAGCCATGAAACTTCTATTCAATTCAATGCTTCATAGTACAATGAGAGAGAGGAAGAAGAAGACGAAAAAAAGGTGTCAAAGTTCGATTTGAAAGTCTGAAAGTGAACATGTAAGTGTCAATCTTTCACATAATTATATGGTATAGTACTGACTGCTGTTAAAAACAAAGGTTCTCATTCATCTAAGGACAGCAGATGAGTATGCAAAAGAATAATTTGACATTAGTCTAATCAGCTTTCATATGGGATTTCAGAGCTTAATGAGGGAAAATGTGAATAGCTTATGAAGTTGAACGAAGAAGGTTGTCTGAAGACGACAAGCTAACGACAATAAGAAGGCTGAGAGTTTAAATATTTTTTTCTCACAAAAAATTTCTGCTTCATTCAGTCATTTGTCTTCGTGGATTCATAACTCATTTGCTTTTCCACACCCTTATGGCACACAAGAGATATCATGCAAAAGCTTATCCTATTCTATTCTGGGATACAAGCAAGGACAAAGAAAGTGTCAATAGTTAGAAAGCATTTATTCTGACCATTGGTTCACACACTCAAACAGCCAGCATTACTATCGACTCCAGATCCTTGCTAAATTTAATCATTTCGACGACAAAACAATTTTTGAGCGCAAGAATCTCGACAATGAGACCACATGCCATCATTTATACCAAACTATTATAGAATGAACACTTCTTTTAAAAGTTATATAGAATGAAAATAAAGGATTCCCAAATTTGGAAAACAATTTCCTTATTAAGCATCGACATGTTATCAAGCTGTCATCGTATCGTGTGTTCCAAATAAGAATTACTTCTAAGAAAAATTAAAAAAGAAGACAAAAAATAAGTTCGAACATTGACATGAGTAAGATATTTGAACATATAAGGAAAATAACGGACAGAAGTGAACGAAGAACTTCTCTTATTCATCGTCCTTATTTTGACTTCAACTTCTGAGGCTTCTGTCCATGTAAGCATGGCATCTGATTCAATTGGCGCAAAACTATGGTAAAGCTATTCAGCCAAAATCCTGCTATGAATCGTGCACTCTCAAATGCTATTCATTCGTTATAAGATCACAAGGTTTTCAATTCAAATAGATAAGATTTTTACGAAATATTATTGGATGTTGAAAGCTTTCCAGCTGGAATGGAATCAAAAGGAAACAAGGATAATTGAGATTAGCAAACTATTATAATTATACGTCCAGCTTAACCAATAAAAAATTGGGAAAGGAGGGTAAAAAAGAAAATGTAATTAATAGTCTCGGAAGGATCTTTTTAGAGTCACGAAACTTCAATCTATATTGGAAGAAATCTTTGGTAGATACGATGCGTTGAACTTGGCTGAACTTGCTTTCATAGCTTGTCCTTCTCAAAGAGGGAAGAAGTGAGAGAGAGAGAATGACATACAGAGAGAGAGAGGTTAAAAAAGAAACAAAGAGAAACAAAGAGAGAAAAAGCGTTGTTTTTATCTTGTTATTCAGATAAAAGAAAACTTATAAAGTCCTTCAAATATGGATATCTCACACATTATTCACTGGGGCTTTCCCACTGACTCTAACACTGACCGCCAATATCCCCTTGGGGAAGATAGGATGTGAAGCAAGGAAGCTTCGTATGATGGCATAGAAACCCTAGCACATCCCTATTTTGTCTCTCCATTTACATTACTATCTACTGGCCATTTGTCATTTTCCTCGCTAAGTTATTCCAAAAACCGTTTACAACTTCAACGTTTTCACAAAATCTGTCAAGTACAGAAAATATTGGAATATTGACAAAAAAGGAAATGAAGGAAAAGGCCACATAGGAAATCAAATGAAAATGTGAAGGAAGCAGAACAATGGTCCTTCGAGTGTTCAAGATGAATGATAATGTGTGGGCATTGAAACGAACGGTAAAATCCTTCTCTCCTCACACATCGTGTATTTGAAGTTCATGTACGAAAGGACACACACGTTTATACACGAATCTCAACATTCAACTGAACCATCAAACTAATCACATCATCTTATTCAGTTGTATGATGAGAGTAAAGTATGGAAACGAGTAAAAACCTTTTATCTCTATAATGTCATCTTTACGCTTCAATAGAGAGAATATGATGATCTGTTGGATAGATGTGTGATAGTACTTGTCACTTTACTATCTTTCAAACATCTTACCAAATGTATACGTCAATGATACTCAGCAATTCAGATATTTCAGAATAAAGCTGAGACTTTAAAAGCTTATCCACCGAGCAGCCAACAAAAAAAATTATTCGAAATCACCCAATTCGTAAATAAAATTATGCATTTTAATTTTAAAACGAATTGCAAAGCAGTCTGTCGGACAAACAAAATAAGCGCAAGGAGAAGCCAGCTCTCCCTTAAATGGATAAGATAATTGTGAACAAGTGAGACAGTACTATCATGAATAGATGATGAGATCATCTTCAGTGGTTATCATCATCATCAGATGATGATGAAGAAGAAGAAAAGAAATTTCAATTTCTTACAAACTGAATGTTTGATATTGCTAGTGAAAAACTAATGTTTTAAATGTATAAAAGCATTAGAAATTGCCTTTCAATGCACTTCCCTTCAAAACGTTTTCAATTACAAGGAAAAGGATGAGAAACCTTAGAGAAAGATACGTTTACCCTTCATCATTTCATTAAATCCATCAAATGATGTCCATTTGGAAATGATCATAAACACATCAAGCGCATCACTAGTTGACGTCTTCTGATAACGCAACAACAATGCAAACGAAACAGTTTAAGAAAGCAATAGAGAGATCAGTTTGAAAAGAAGAGAAAAATAAAAAAAAAAAAGAAGAAAAATAAATATTTGAATAAACTAGCAATAAGCAAGCACAAACTATTATAGAAATGATCCCTGTTATTAAATAGAAACAACTACCATAGATTGAGCTCAATTGAGCAGAAAATGTTGGAACTTCAGCAATTTTGAAGCTTATGATGTAAAGATGAATCTCTCATATATTTTCTCTTTTTTGAGGAAGCAAAATATGAAAAAAAGCAAATGTGTTAATGTGAACATGATAGATGGAATGTGTTAATGTGCCAAGTAGGGAGTTATCTCTTCAATACATATACACTCACACGCACAGAAGAGACAGAACTGATCGGAAAAGTCCTAGAAAACAACCGTTCAGTGAGTCTGCTGACTATTAAAAACAAACAAAACAAACATATGCTTAAATTGTATTTAAATGAAGCATCTTCCATTTTCCAACATAAAAAATATATAGAGAGAGAGTAAGTGGGAGAGGTAAAGAGATCCAGAGAGAGAGAGATAAAATGGAGAAGGCATATGCTGTTTGAATACCATTCGCCAAATAGAACGGCATCATCATTATGAAAACGTATCATTCACCTCATCTACGGAAGTACTCAATTCTCTTCTTTCGCCTTCAATGGTCAGACGAAGAAGCTTCTCCTCAATTATTAGAACAAAAAATCGTTCAAGCAGAAGAAGATGGTCAGACAAATAACACCAGAATAGCCTAGTACTATCTGGACAATGCTCTTTAGCAATTGAACAATTGAAGTTTTGAACGAAAAGCTTTTCACAAAAATACTAATAGCTTCTTAGTATTTCATTGAAATCATTACGCGCCACCAACCAAAAAAGGAAATATGAGATGAAGCTATAACCATTTTGATTGTATCATTTCCATGAATGACCCTCCCCCAGCGTGTTTTTGTAAAAAATAAAAAAAACTATTAGTTTGTTAAAAAAAAAAGAAGGAAAACTTACTGAAATAAAAAGGAAATTTCCAGAGTCACAAAAAATATTTTTTTTCTCAAATAGCATGTGCAATCAACAATGACTATATTAAATCTTAGAAAATGATTAGAATAGTTAGAGAATTTAATAAACGCCTGCGAGCCTGCCCTTCCTTCTCAAACAGAAACAGAGAATGTTGTATAGAAGAAAGGATATTCTCCTTTTTAGGAATGAAAAAGGAAGAAATTGCGTTTTTTTCTTGTCTTCCTTCTCTTACATTTCTCTATTGTTTCATATAGTTTAGCTGATCATACATCAAACTAAACTATGAGAAGGATGTGCAAAAGTTGACTAAAATGTATTTTAAATCACACAATTAGTCAGATCTAGCAAGTCGACTGCTGCTCGGACATGCCAAAGTGGATAGAAGGAAAAATTAAAAAAGATGAGACCCATGAGATCAAAGCTAACACATACTAGTGGTCAGTTGAAACAGCATGTGTCAAACTTATTCACACAAATTGATAACTTTTAAAAATGGCCAAAGAGCGAGCAAGAAAATTGTAAAAAATCATGCTCGTTCTTCATGCTCATGCTAAATGGGGCAAATCATTAATAGGCTTGCTAAGCATATACATATATTTCATTTTTAACATATTTTTTGTCGCCTTACAAACCAGGTGCTAATGATATAAAAGCGGATCAGCTATAGCATTCATAATGAATATTTCAAACGATTCGAATCGATATTCAATTATGAATGAAGAATGAATAAGATAGCGGAGATATGAAAATAAAAATTTTCATCTGGGCTAAAGCTTAATACCGCGATAAGGTCAGCTGAGGGAAGGAAGAGCTTACCGTGATTCCGTTCGATAAACATACAATTCATTTGAAATAATATTAAAAGAATCATTCCGGAATAGCAGGCGAACGAATGTAAAAAGCATTTGCACGTACCTGTTTGCTCTGTTTCCACGTAACAGCTATCATGTTCTTCAACACTTAAACAAGAAGCACCCAACGATTCAATTAGAGCGTCAGCTGAATTCTGAAAAACACATTACCTTAGAGAATAGTTATAATAATAATAATTTTGTAAAATAATAATAATAATAATAATAAAAAGAGAGAAAAAAATAAAAATAATATAGAATATGAGAGATGGGTAAGCAGATGATGATGATGGTGTTGCTGAAGTAACGCAAAATGCCGATTGTGATAGCATTGCCATATTGAAATAGTATAATAATGAATTTTGTGATAAAAACGCTTAATTTTAATATTCAATTTAGAATGGAGGAAAAGGACATTCATATTATATTATATGTGTTAGGTTGAATAACTTCTAAAAACAATTAACTATTCAAGAAGCGAATAGTTCAGGTGAAAATGTGAAGCACACACAAACTGCAAAAATTTGTCGAAAATAGCTGAGAGTTGCCTCTCTCTCTATGGAATTGCTATCATTCAACAAACGCTGGCTATATAGCAAAACAAGACTTGACATTTATCAGATAAAATGTTCAAAAGCGCAATTGAACACAAAATATTGAACCTTATGCCTTTTGAGATATAAAAGCATATGATAAGGGGGGATATGATGGATGACATGAATATATATGATATGATATACATGATGCATCTCATAAGATTGAGATATGGTTATGATAGACTATGAGAGAAGACTTACTTCCATTCCTTCGTGCATAATTTCTTCGCTTGATGCTGAAACAGGTGGAGATTCGTGAATTTTTTTGACCGGACCGATGGCAAATACGCGTGGAGATCCTGAAATAGAAGACGTTAAAGCATGAGGAAACGAGTAAAGGAAGTAAGAGATGCTAACAGCTGTCTAGCTGTAAGGTACAACTCAAAATATCATGAGAAACAAAGAAAGAATAAGAAATTGTGGAAACATTTTAAATGGTGAGAAACTAGAATTGAACTAATTCCAATTAGAAACTCTCAAAAGATCTTTGTTATACGATAGAACATTGAAAACAGAAATGGAAGAGCAGAATGCAGTATTTTTTTTTCTAAAAGACTTTGTTAGATACTCTGAATATGCAGCTATTAGAACTAGTTAATAAACGAATTTGTTCCGCATATGAGGTGGTGTAGCAGATATGAAACGACGAAGATGTTATGCGAACTCATTTTGAATAAGGAGGAACATTTGTGATTCTAGTGACATGATGAAACTAATAATCAAGTTTTTCGAAAATTTTTGATAAAAATACGTATAAACAAGACCTTTAGATAGCATAATCATATACTAGTTTGAGATGTGATCTTTACCAAGAGATGATATATAGAGTCAAAGCATAAGCGTAGGAGTAGTAATAGTAATAGAAATGATTAGTTAGGTGTGTGAAGCTGTTCCATGACTATGACGATCATCATGATGTGTCTGTGTGGGCAAATGAGGAATGAGCAGAAGGAAAGTTAATTTTGAAAGAAAAAAATAAAGAAAAAAGAAAGTAGTATTTCTATATATTTTCTTCAATACAATATTCATCTGATGAGAAAATATAGAATTCATTTTTTTGAGATTTTTTTTCATCTGAAAATCAGCTTCAATAGCATGTTTACAAGTAGGAGCATATTTGACGAAAAATGAAACAAAAAAAAAAGAGAGAGAAAAAAAAGAAATGAAAATCATGAGGATGATGAAGACGAAAAAACGTAAAAATAATGAAAATTTGAATGAAGGAAAAAAAAACTATATGGATGTGATGACAGAGTTACATCTATTCCATAAAAGAATGATATTGTTGACAGCCCCGAGAGCATTCGGCTACTCAGTCAAAACCTTTTTAGCGCGAAAAGGCTACAGCTCAATATGGAAAGACGACAACTCAGACAGGCTGTTTCCAAAACAATTTGTGAATGGAGAATGAATAGAAAAGACAAGAACATCTGCGAAAGTTAAAATGAAATTTGATGAATATCCCGGCAAATTGCTTGAAGATGATGAAGATTGAATATGGAACGAAGGATGGATACATCATGCTCAATCATTAAAATAATGAAATGTTTTAAGATGAAAGCATGAACACACATTGAACGTAGCGTGAATAAGGAGAAATTCTAGATGTTCCCCTCTCAAGGCAATTGCTAACTTCCTCTTTCTATACAATGGCCTACAACGTATATATGAGGAAATAGACACGTGAATTAATGAGCAAATCGAGTCAAGATTCAAGCTTTCAGCTCAAAACTTTAATAAATCAAAAAGAATGATTATCAAATACATCAACCGGACATGTATTCATGATCAAGCTGACATCGTATAATGAGTTTTAGAATGGAAATTCTTTGATACAAACGTCTGATACGGAGAACTTCCTGAACAAAGTTCATCAAAGTTCCCATAGCTCATCGCCATATAGGTCCGTTTATATAGCCTTAGGCAACATCTTCTTTCTTTCTATTCTTCCTACTCTACTTCGATTCTCTAAAACTTCTTCTGTCTATCTCATGTTTCTCTCTGTCTCTCTTCTTTCCTGCTCACTTGCATTCATAGTTTGCATATTGCCATTGAGTGAAATCAATAAAAGGAGAGTAAAAGCAGGAGAAATAGGAGAAGGACATATCCGACTTCTTCTCATGCATCATCTGAACATGCATTTTATTTTAATGAAAATATAATTGTTATATACTCTGTATAATTATAACAATTAAATCACTAAAAATATATGTGAATTAGATATGTGCGGAGTGGAAAAGATAAAGAGAGATCAGCCCATAAACCTATTAAAACGTATTTCAATTACAAGTCACAATTGAATTACTTGGGCTATAAGACAGAATCGATAGTCTCGAAAAAACCATTGACTTGCTCCCTCCTCTGCCGTATCTGAGGAAAGTTGAAAGATATGAAAGGAAAAGTGAAAATAGAAACCACGAATTGAAGATTACGAAAATGGAAAGCAAGTGAAAAAAAAATTATTTTTTCTCTTCCCCCACTACTAGTACTACAAGAAAACAGAATAATGGTCATATCAGAATAATATTTTAAGAGAAAGTGAATGAACAAACGATAACAGATGGATGTCGAACTGTTCGAACAAGACACTAGTTGAGTGAAGGAGCATAGCATGATAGAAGTTTATGAGAAAAAAAATGATAATAATTTGTATGTGAATAATGCAATAAAAAAGATATTTGCATTGATGAAATTAGATTGTGGCTATCGAGATAACAATAAAGAATTCTATCACGCAACTTGATTTAACAGCGCGTTGAGGTTTCCTTGAAACTTACACATTGAGCTGGAGACTGCAGGCATTACTCACAATGTGTTTTGAATTTACGTATTTGGAGTAAGGATCAGTTAATCTTAAGCGGAAGCTACTCGAAAAGTGAGTTCACTTTTATATCCGATAGGAAAGATGCTATATGAGAAATAGTGAATGATGAAGATGTAAATGAAAAAGAAGAGACTCGTCGACTTAGCATGGAAGCTAACTTCATCTAACATCCGAACGAAGGCGTAACTAAGCTTTCATCTTGAGACGAAGAAAAAAAGAAAGATAATTTGGTGCAGAGAAAATTTTCAAAAATAAGCTTTAATCGAATGTTTTCCTGCTCATCACAAGTATCATGAAACCTTTCGACTTTGTAAAAAAGAAAGTGAGAAATAAAATATGCCAAATTACGAGAGAAAAACTGGCGACGCATACAATCGGACATATACTTATGCGTCTCTGAAGCTTCTCAGTTGGTAATGAGAATTGAAGAAGACACCATCGATGAAAAATAAAACACTTAACTGTTTTCACTTAGTTATTGAGCAAGACGACAAATTCTAATTATGTTTTTCGACATCGTAGGTTACTTTGCAAAAACTAATAGCATAATTTCAGCTGCTTGGAAGAACTTAAAAGGTTTTCAAAAAAAAAATGCATCGCTAAAACAGAACGGAAAAATAATGGAGGTCCTGGGCGGAAAAATCTTTTAATCGGGTGATGTGGTCACATTCAATGAATGCCCATAATGTAAGCTGACATGCAGGACGTCGTGTACTACGACGTCTTTGAAAAGCTCACAGAGGAAAGACACATTTCCATGAAAATTAGAAGTGAAATGCTTAATGAGTTGAAAAAAAAACGATTATTGTCAGTAAACAGATGAAAGAATTGAATTTTATGAACTCATCTTTCCATTTTTAGCGCAAAGTTGCCTGAGGCCATTCTCACAGGAATATGAAATCCGTCAAAATAACGATCGAATTGAAATAAGCTTTCGAAATATTGTATGAAAAAGCATTCATAAAATATCAGAGAATCGAAAAAGTTCTTCTATTTCTTGAAGCAAAAGAAGCTGATATGCTTAAACTGCAAATGGAATGTGAAAAAAAAAGGAGAAAAAAAGAAGAAACAAAGAATATGAACTTTGATGGGAAGAAATGAGTTGGATGATGAGTTGAAAATCAAAAAGGACTAAGTAATGCCATTATGCTCATATAAATCAATCAATTTAATTAAGGAGAGAATAGGAACATGAAATTTCACGTTAATCAATGGAAGATGCAATCAAATTAAGCTGAACAGCTCCAATTAGATGCCATTTTGCGATCTCCATTCAACAAAACGAATTGAGTGACCCGTCAGGTCATTTAAGGCTTCAAAAGAAGACATACAAAGCCAATCCTTCATTTGGCTTGACAGTAAATATGTTTAAAAAGCTTAGGACAAGGACATTCAATCGAGGAAAGTTCATGAAGTCATCAACAGTCGGATGAGGCAATGAGAAATTGATGTTCAGTCAGACAGACGTAAGAAATCCTTTGAACCACCCAAAAGCTTAAAATAATGCCATCTGGCCATAACGAGTAGTGGCATTTGGATAGAAAACTGATGCAAATCAAGAAGAAATAAGAAAAATTTTCGAAATGAGACCTGGTTGAATGGTGAATATTCAAAATATGAATAATTCAAAACAAAAAAGGCCATAGGGGGAAAATCTTTATAATAAAATACGATTTTAGAGGCAAATGAAAGAAAGGAATAACTCGTATTGCTATATGTACTTTAATAAGCAAAAGAGCACTTTATAGCTCAAGAGAGAGAGCAAGTCCACGTGGTTGAAATGAGGCAGAGGACTACTAAGCTGCATATATAACATCCGGCTCAGCTCATGCCAAAAGAAAAGTAGAAGGAGGATTGCAAGGGGAATGAGCTTCAACTTAAGAGCATAACTTTCCAACATCAGCTATTACGAGGAAGTTTATTTTGAAAGTCATGAATAACATTATACCATGAACGAGAGGGAGGAATAACGAATGAAAAATTGTAAATGATATCACGGAATCCAAGATACGAAAATTAATGCCGATGGGAAAATTCTTTTGAAAAATAAAACTTTACAAAATCTTAAAAGGTTATAAATAATACGTCATCATATCTCACATAACTTATCAATAGGATAAACTAGTAAGTATGAATGAATTGGAAACATGTATGGGTGGAAGTGTAAGTGAATGTGAGTGTGAATGTGTGTCGCAACACCGAATAAAGAAACTTTCACTTCTTCACACACACAGATGTTGTGAGAGAAATTTTCTGATATTAAGCTCAAAAAATGCTTATTTAATTGAAAAACATTTGACTTCGAGAGAGTGGTTGCTAGGTAAAGTGTCGAGCTTATTTATGTCGTAGTAATCTCTCAGACAACATTCTATTTCACTGCTTGTCCAACTCAATTTCGGTTTTTCATTTGTCATAAACATAAGCTAAAAACCTACATGTTTGAATTGTTTCAAAAGCATTTATGAGCGTTCGTGGCTCATAAATGATGAATTGAGGTAATACAGCAAATCTAGATTGCTGCAAGTGCATCAATTACCTCTATTCACAATTATTAATGATTAACAATGCCAAAAATGATAATTGTCAGCTGAATAGATGTCCTTCTATTTCTATATATAGCTTAATGCTCACACAAAGCTCAGCTGAATGTACCCAAAAGTATTTTTATTTGAAAATCAGAAGATATTACTAATATTTACGTTTGAATATTAAATATCTTGAAAGAGAGTAGCGTATATGAAGACAGATTTTCATGAGTTTTAAAATTATGGATAGGAATGGACATTCCGTTTAAATGAGCACCTATACTTAAACTCAATAATGGAGCTACTACTCGTCTTAAGCATTGCATAAATAGTAGCCTTCAGTTTCCTAGTAGTCTCTCATACTATTTAATTATCCATAGCCTATGCATCTTACTCCCAACGTTTTCCATTTTCTACCAATCTCTCGCTTCATCGTCTATTAGGAAGCTTTCATGAAGTATATAGATGGAAAGAACGTCAAGAATCTCAGAAAGATGAAGGAAAAAAATGCGCAACAAGATGGATTTGAGAACATTAGGGGATATGAATTTTGGATATAAACAGAACATACCTTGAACATACAGATCTAGAATGGATATTCCGTTGAAGTTAACTCCAGATATTTCTCCATTGAAAGAGTTATAGACAGTAAAATCGCCGCTTTCTCTGATGTATCTGAACGATTTCTTGAACGGCTTCCACAAGAATTTTGTATACCTAGTCTTCTCTGACCTCAGGATGTGAAGGCTATTCATTGAAGCACCCACCACTAATCGCCAATGCATATTTAACGTAGTGAGTTCGATGCCATCTGGAATAAATAAGATATCAGAAAGAATTTTCTTTAGAAGCTAACCTTTTGGGGTGTAGCGCACTGGAGTACTATTATCCAACTGGAGTGTGACGTTATATTCAAAGCGGAATAGCTTCACTGTATGCAGCTTGCCATCACTAACAGTTTTGGAGAAAATTCCGAAATGCTGCATTCCACTGCCTAAGTTGTATTTCAGCTGGAGCATTCCGCCATCCTGTTCAATTATTATTATGGTATGCTGCTTGAGTACACTGACCAGGTACAAAGTGAAGAAATCTGGTTCTGCAGAAGATTCTACAGAGAACAATACCCCAGATAGTCGTTTCGTACTGAAGGCTATGACCATGAAGTCTTTAGATGTACTAGGCATTTCTCCTGGTGGATATTCATAGTAGAGACCTGTCACTTCACTGTTGAAAGAGAAGGTTGTAGCGGCTAAAAATATTTTTAATTTTTATCTTATTTTTGATAACTTACGTTCGCTACATTTCGTTCCAGCAAAACTAGTGAATGTACAATCGCAAAAAATATTTGTCCATTGCTGAATACATCGGCCACCGTTTGCACAAGCAAACGGAGAGCAACGTGACATAGGACCTTAAATAGTGAATTTCAGCAAGAAAAAAAATCATTCACAAAGAAAGCTTAATAATGAAAGAGAAAAGAGAAGAAACTGCAGGTTTAAATGATGAAAGGCATGCAGAAACGAAGAAGTACGGTGAACAGAAAGCTCTGAGAGAGCTGATGGAAAATAGAGGAGCAGATACTAAACAGCTTGTACAGTTTGATGTATTTTTTCAAACATCGGTACACAAGTATTTCATTACCTATTTCATTACTATCAGGGTCGGTAAGGATAATAGCTGGAAGTTTGATGTCTTACACAAGATAATAACAATTGCAAGGGGATTTTTCAATGAGAAAAGGGTGATATCTACTTACCGTTACATCCTTTAGTTATACTGTGCATTGCATGAGCTTCTTCCAGTATATCAATCAGACGATCATTCAACCGCAGAGTCGATATACATCCTCTGAAACCCTGAGCAGACAGAGCTGTATGGCTTGCCAGAGATGGAGGAACACCGCCTAAAAAAGCCTAACTTAAAGCGTTCCAGAATAAACCGATAACCTAAAACAGCTGGACCTGATATAACAAAAACATTTTTAACTGCAGTGCTGTTGAGATGAATGGTTGAAGTGGTATTATCAATGAGTATAACATGATCAAGAGTGTCTTGATTCTGGAAAACAAAAACGTATTAACTCACATTTGATGTATTACCTGATATAAAAGAATAGAATGCCATCTCATATCGCTTAGATGTTGCTTATTTGGTAAACGTGGTGATAGAATGCTACCTTCACTTTTGCCAAACCGAAAAGAGTATCGAATTCTGGAAGAATAAGATCGAAATAGAGGCTGAACTCATTTACGAACCGTGCATTAATCAATTGGATCATCAAGTAATCATTGGAACTAACAGGCAAATATGCGAATAAAAGACATGTACGAACAAGAGTTTGAAATTTGAAAGACACCCGAAAATTACCCGTTAAAGAAGATATCTGTAAAACAGAGTTTGGACCAGAAAATTATTGCGGATTACCTTATCTGCACTGAATGAAATAAAACCCGTAGAATTAGTAAAAGAAACAGATAGAAGTTTAGATTTTCTGAAATTTCGTATTAAGGCAAGTAGTATCATTCGGCTGTACATATTGCGCAAACCCTTGTTTTCCTTGTTGGGCTTACTTTCTTTGCGAATCTTGTTCAATAAATCCACACTGTTAAAGCTCTGTTAAGAAACAATTTTATAAAACGATCTTGATAATCTTAGCTTACTAATTGACTGATATGCCCTCGGAAAGGTGCTTGAAATCGCTCGTCTGATTTAAATGATCGAGCTCCCACTACTTCATCCACTTCAACAACTAAAGATGAGTTTAACGTATCTTAAAAAAGATCATTAATTCCGTGAGTATAGGATATAAATTACAACTACTGCCCCATTTGCCATCAAAATACAAAAGCATGTTGTTTCCTCTTCTTTTAACTTTAGCCGTATGCCATTTGCTATCAGAAACAGGCTCCCCCCACATATGAACCTGCACAAAATATATTATATCTCAGGAATCGCTATGATGACTAACAGTTTTTGATGAAATAGTTTGAATTACAATATGCAACATCCCGTCGAGTAGAAAAACAGCCAAAAAATTGGCAGGGTGAGCATTAGAACGTGTCTCGATAAGGCATCCAAGAGATTGTTCCGTCTATTAAAGGATTGAATAACACCAAACATGATATAGCACACCTTGAAGCGGATCTCGATGTCTTCAGCTTCAGACAATACTGTTCTAGGATATATAGATAACATTTTTTGTTCTCCATCTATTGAATAAAAAACTGGCTCTGAAAATAATATGTAACTATATCCAATGTATTTCATTCATACCAGTATTGCAAGTTGCTCCAGTCATGGTCGTCTGTGAACAGTCACATTTGAACGATAAAGTTCCAGAAGAGCATTTTCCGTAATTGTGACAGGGATTGGGAGAACAATTGTCTTTTTCGCTAGGGCAACCTAGGGTGATACCTGAACATAGTAAAAACATAGTATTGTGGCTGGAAAGATGAAAAACCTGTCGAATTGACACTTTCAAAAGCTGAAGCTATCTTAGCACTGATGCCATTGATTCTAACATTCTTTATACAGCCAACAAACGACTGAAAACAATAAATGACGTAAGATACTTTGAAATGAGCATACCTTTCTCAAAGTGATTGACCAAATCGAAGATGGATACACAAAGTTGGACTGTGGTAAGCCTCCTATCAGTATGGGATCAACTAGAACACGGAAAATCGTTACTAATATTCAGTAAAGAAGTTCTCACCAACGTCCAGGTTGGCAGACGTTCCCGGTGTATTAAAATCAGTTTTATGGCTATTCACTATAATCTTTCCATGACGTCGTATTCTTTCCATGTATACAGAGTTCCAAGAGTTGCTATCGGTCAATCTTTTGAATGTTGTTTGTAAACGTATTGATCCTGCCCCCAAATCGATGATCATATAGAGATGTCCATCAATTAACTCAAATGCTAGATACTCCGACGAATTATCTATCATTGAGCTAAGCAAAAGGATCAAACCATCTGGTTCAGTTGATCGGAATTGGAATGCTGAACGAAAATTATAGTTGAAAAGCGATGAAGAAACTCACATATGCTTCCCCCTTTAGCATCGCTTGTCCATTTTGTGAGAAGTAAAGGAGTTGCTCCAGGATGGAAAGAGAGAATATCAGGAGGAGGTGCCGGGTTTTTACAGGAGAACGACAAATCACCACCTTAAAAGACTTCCGTGAAAGATACTAAAACAGGAAGTCACCTGTTCGTATAATACTCTCTCCATAGCTTTCATCGGCTAAACTGACGAAGTTAATCTTCATAGAATCAGCTATATATCGGATCTGAGAGAAGGTAAAATCAAAAATTGGGGGGTAAAGTTATTCTTACCATTTTTATACATCCTCGGAATGGTGTTTTATTAACTCCCATGCTCTTATGCTCATTAGGCACACCACCAATATAGAAGAACGAGTTGTATATCCAATCCATTTCAGGAGCATACTGCCTAATTTGGTCTTTCTGATCATCCACACGGAGCTTCATCTGAAATAGTAGGATAAGCTCATGTCATGAAATAACGAAAAGCCCATCATCTTGTTTTCAATCATAATTCATACATGCAAAATGAATGAAATAAACAAAAGGAAACTGAAGTTATAAAGCAGGAGAAAAAGCAGAAAGCCACACTCTCCGCGTTTTTAAACGGAACATAGTTGAAATGAAAGACCCGAAACTGAGAAAGATGTATAAACCAAGTTAACATAAAAAGGAACAATCTGGATAGAGGGGACACAACTTACATGTACTGCTGCTGTTTTCTCAGAATGCTAAAGATCATATATTGGTTATGTTAGAAAGAAACAAATAAACAACTGAGTTTTGAAGTGTTGGTTAAATAGAATGGAAAGTAATAAGTATAGTTGAAATGTATGATACCCGATGTTACTTTGAACTTACCACTTGAAGCGTTCTCTCTAATGTCACACTGTGCCATGTATCATCATCATAACGTTCCGCAGGAAACTTGTTGAACAGTCTAATGATTCGTACATCTGTTCCTTCCAGCTTGGATGACGCAATCAGAGCACCATTTTCCAGCATTAGATGAATGAAGCTCTTGAAATAAACAGCGAATAATTCCATGGGCAAAGTATTAAGTACCTTCTCATCTCCAGCAAAGAATATAACTGCTGTACCATGCACGGTTTTGAACGAAAGGGTAATGTTCTCTGTTTTGGCTCTTACAATAGCAGATATGTTTGCTGAAACGTCATAACCTATCCATTCGTTTCCACTGAATGTTAATTCGGCGTCAGTTTTTTCTTAAAATTATGTATGAGGAATAAGAAATGCGTAACCATCGTTTACCTATATCGCACAGCTTGCCCTCATAATCGCTATCAGAACAGTCACATTTTGGTCCTTCATTGGTCGAGAAGCATACTCCTCCATTCTGACATTGGAACACTTCTCGTGACAAAACCTTGAATAACTAGTATGTAAACTTCTGGGTTTGCCACCTTACCCCAGAAGGTCGACAATGGTTGTCATCTGTATGTCTTATTCCATGTCCGTCAATTAACTGCGGTGAGGTTTCTCCTGAACAGGCACATTTAATTCAATAAATCTGAGGTGAGAAAAGAGTGGAGACCACCGCTTGTGTCGATTGTGATAAATGAAATGAAGTTAAGCACACGGAAATCGCGTGACAATCTACTCACTACAAATTAGCATAAAATGCTAATCATACACGCACGACGAAAACATTGTTTTTCTTTTCAGCTTGCATCATTTGTTTTCCATAATATTCTAATTACCTTGCGGATAAAGCCTATACACAAGATTTCGAATATTCGCAGCCAAATGAACTGAAAACCGTCGTAGGGGAGAAGACAATTTAGAAAGCAAGTGTATATCCTATAAAAAAACACTGAATACTTAAAGATCATCCGAAAACATACAGATGGGATACCGCCAACGAAAACATCGGAGTTCTTATGAATGTTTCCAAAAACAAAACTTCGTTGATTCAGAATTTTAAACACTAAAGTGTAGTCAAGTTCTAATTTAACATTCTCGAAACTCTGCAAAAAACGACATGAGGAAATTTACTCAAACAATAACCAACTTGGTGTAAACGAAGAGTGTGCCATCTATCATCGTCAACTTTTGTCTCATCTATTCGTATTGTAGTTACTGGACGTTGATGTCGAAAGTCGTTCGAGTTATCCCCGAGCCTGAAGATGTTTACATTTCAGAACAGTAACTATACCATCTTCATACCTAAAATCAAGCTGGATATATCCTTCAGTTATAGAGATTGCATAGAAATTTCCATTGACACCACTATCATCCGTATAGAGAATGAGCCCATTCGATTGTCTAGTTTTAATTTCTAATGATAATGAATTCTCATAAGAATGTGCCCATTTTGGGTACCTGAAACAAGTTAATGAATTGGCACGTTGCTAATTATGGTAGTGTAAGTAAGTTTAAAATCAAAGAACAAGCATTTCTTTTCTTGTCGCATCAAATGTGTGATGTAAATCAAAATCTCGAAGCTCATTAAGTATTTAATGGACGAAAGAATGCATGACTCAACATACCTAGCGTAAGAATCAGGAGCTCCAGATAAAATAATAGAACAACACAGTTGAGTATGCAATCCCAGAAAAATTATGGAGAGCAGGCCAGGATCAAATATATGGTGTGGCATGACATCTGGAAAAAACTTTTTTTGAGAATCCGAACATGTAAATATGAAGACAAATAACAAAGAAGTTTAAAGATGGATATAATGAATCTCTAGTGAAATCTTAAAGAAACGACAACGATTAGGCTATAGTTCAAGAGGAAACTAAAAATAAGAATAGAGAACGTAAGGATAAGATCAATATGAATTCTCTTTCACCATTCATCCAGCTTCTGCACCTGAAGTCATTTTACGTCACAACTAGAACTTTTAAAACCATTAAAGCAATTGAAGAATGTTTTTCAATAACGCTTCTCAGCTTTAAACGTCTAATAACTACCTTGACATGCGGAAGAGCAAAAAAGAAAACGAAAGTATGAAAGAGTGAGATGAAACATTTTCACGAATCACCTTCAAAGACAAAGCTGTAACTTTGCTTTCCTACAAATGTATTCACGAAATATTCTTCAACGAAAGGTTTCTTTTTATGTCTTTCTTTGAAAAAAAGCGAAAAGATTCTTCCAAGCTAAACGACAAATTGAAACGTAAATGCAAATAGTTCAAGTTTGGTTTTCTCAAACTCAACTTGGAATCCAATTGAGGAGTCTTTTAAACGAAGTCGTTCAGCGAACATACATTCAACTAGAGTCTATTTTATGAAAAGTACGTGCAAAAAACATCTACAAAATGATCTTACATGAGTTTGTTGGAGTTTTAAGTGAAAATAGGAGACTCTTATTGTATGCTTCTGGAAAAGCATGACGACAAAAACGACTAAACGACTTGTCGAGCGAATTACAATGACAGATGAACGAGTTCAAGAAGATGTAATGACAGAAAAAGAGCATGAAAGAATAAAAATATTGCATAAAATATAAAATATATCCTGATGAAGTTATACAAAAATGATTGTACTTCCTGAATATAATGATGTTTGAGGTGAGAATTGTTTTGCGTCAGCTTCTGATTAATAATAACAACAAAGAAGGCAAATTTGGAATTGCATATGAGAGATGTGAAACAGATGCCACTAAATATTCGTGCAAAAAAAAAACAAGTTAATAGCTGATTTATTAAGAGGAAGCAGAATATAGAAGTCGAATAGAAGGGAAGAAAGAGATGAATAGGCATACTGGAAGGAATGTTAATCAGATTCCCTAAAAAAAGCACTAATATAAGAGAAAGAAGAAGCAGAGCGAAAACCAACAAAAACACGGCTTCTGACGAATTTCGGAACTTAATAAGAAAACTCGGGACAATATGTGTGGCTCAAAATGGGTATATATCCTCTGTCTCTTTCCCTCATTCTCTCCCTCTTTATCTATATCTCTCTCTCTCTCTCTTTCTTTTTGAATCTTGGAATTCGTAGCAGAAGATAGTTTTCTCTGACCAACTGTGATATATGCTTCCAAAATCTATGAGCATACGAATGTGTGCGATTCATTTTTTAATGTACAAGACGAGTTCTTAAGCGTCACATAGAAACATTAAGTCATCTGAATGTTAGGATGAGTTTCAGATGGATGAAAAGCTGAGTTCGTTGAATGAATAAAGACACTCAAAATGTGTCTTCATTACTTCATAAACTCTTGCAATACATAGCAATAGAAAGTTTCTGAGACTTCGAACATAGCCCTAATTCCGAATGCACCCAACAAACAGCATGAATGGGTTTGAATCTAGTAATTCCTAAAAAAAATAAATGAGAAAACAATATTTTGAAGCGGTTTTCGCCGCAACGAAAAAAATGTTCATCAATTCTTGAGCACTTTTTAATGATTGGTAAAGCTTTTATAAGAACAAAAGGTAGCTTAAAATCCTAAACAGTGCTTCCTGAGAAACTAATTACTTATGATGATAGCGATGACCATTGCACTGCTTGTTCATAGAACAAGGCTGTCAGCACATCTTTATTCTTAAATTTGCAAATTCATGTTCGAAATAAGCAAAACCTTTGTTTTTGTGCCCAACATCAGGATGAGGAGAGGCGAAGAATTAAATAAACAACAGGCCAATGAGGATTACATAAAGCATCACCTAAGTCCGTATCAATTTGGTTGAGAAAAAAAAACTAAACAACTGGATTCTGCTGGTCAGTTTGACATATCTAGGATCGCTCTGGAATAGGAATAACATGGCACGCTTCAGCAGTTGTTGAGCTGCTCCTCCGCGGGAGGAGACAAAGAGAACATGAAGAATAGGTAGTTAAGAAAATGAATAAAAGAATTAAAATCGAGTTCGTTGTAAATATGCAAACTTCGGTATTCGCCTTACTTCATCCTTAGCATAGGCTGGCTAAGGAACTATTTGATTAACCGAACGGTGCATGTTTCCCAATCATCAAAGAAAAACCAAATTTACTTATTCTGCTTGAAAAAAGAAAATTAAATGAGGAAGCGATCTGCTCAGCTCAGTTTACAGAACTAAACTTTTCCTTTGAATGAAGGAACAGCTTTATAGAAAGACGGTGAACGTCAAGAACGATCATTAACATAGCTGTAACGAAAATATTACATACTAAACAACAAGTTATTCTCGACTCCCTTCTTGTTTTTAATACTAATTGAAGTCAAAATAAGAAACAAATCATAGTTCGTAGAGCAACAAATTCAAGAAGCAATCAAGCTTTTGTTTGATTTATAGCATACTGATTGCCAATGAGTCATGTAAGGAGGCTTAATCGTTCTGACATAATGCTGTCTCATCCACAATATAATAGAAGAAGTAATTATGACATGATCGAATGAGGAGAACACACACACACATACACACGCATGAAAACTACTATGCACTTCAAATTTATTAATCGTAGTAGTTGAAGCTTCACAAATAATTCGAAAGATTTTATCGCCTAGCGATGGATGCCATTCCAAACGATGATTAATGGCAAGCTAGTTGCTTTGAGATTTGTTTATGAAGTTTAAAAGTTGCACATACAAAAAGAGCAGTTAAGCTCGTAAATTCCAGCTTGGTAAGCAAAAAACGGCAACATTAAAAAAGCTTTCCGGAACTATTTGGTGGTGAGACGTAGCTGTTTGTCAAACAAACATCCGTGTGTTGCTCCAAACTGTATACACCTCATGAACATGAATGGTCAACAAATTTTGACGAGATGTCAAGTATACTACTTCATGATTTTGACCAGAGAGAAGATGGATTAGGAACTCGTGCTTGTTGCAGTGGAATAGGGGAGGGGAGTTTGAGAAGGCTTGGTGAGAGTTTCTTCTAGCCGTATCAAGAAAGAAAGTAATATAAATATAATAAGACAACAACAATAACAAATTCGGGTCATCCTTTTAACAAATAGTCTGATGCACATGGCAAAGGGAGGAAACGAGTGGTGGAGGTCTTGCAGGAAAGTTCATCAAATTAGTATTTATCGCTTGAAGTTAGTTTCTCCAACTAAGCGGGGAGTTATCTTCTAATTAATCAGAGAAGCTTGAAGGAAATTTAAGTGCATAAACGGAGCAAATGAACTGAATGCAGCAAAATTTATTGTAATAAGAATGAAGGGGGTAGTAAGGAATTCGATCATCGAAATCAAATGTCCTTAAGTGTGAAAAGTGAAAACAAAAAATGCCGTGGGGATGTCTTGATCTTTATTGTGCGATTAAAGAATCTTCATGGTCAAAGTTAGCAAGGAAAAAAAGAAAAATTCTTAGCCTTTCCCTGACCCAGGGGACGACAAATGAAACAACAACGTTTTTCGAGAAAGATGAGCAAAACGAAACGAAAAGGATAAGAAAAAGATGAGAACGACTCAATTCTATGGCCAAACTCATTTTCCG